CCCCCCAAAGGTCATGCCGTTCTCCACGGCCTGCTCCACCCCCCTGGCCAACTTTGAGGCCGGGCTCAACTACAAGGACGTCGCAGACCCCGCAGTCATGGTGCGCCGCGATGACGGCGATGTCACCGGCGATGATGTCACCGGTGACGCGCCGCCGGCCGGCAGATATGCATGGCGCTCGGATTCCGTTGTCTGCAACGTCCATGGCTTCGCCCCCGCGGCCCCTCACGAGGGCCAACGCTTTGCAAACCAGATGGCTTTCCTAAACCCCTTCCCTCCCCTCCCTGGCATCCCCCCCCCCACAATCCCCCGCGCCGCCAGGTGTCATTCCCGCTGAAGGATGACGCTGACGGCGCGGCCCTGGTGGCGTGGACGACCACCCCGTGGACCCTGCCCTCCAACCTGGCGCTGTGCGTGCACCCGGACTTCACTTACGTAAAGGTGAGGTGGCGGCGGCATGCTGCAACTGGGTTGTCAGCACGTGGGAGTGTGCTTTGGACGTGTTGTGTTTGTCAAGGGGGCGGGGTCAATCGGACTCGGGCAGCTAGACTTCACAAGCGTTGAAGGTGAGGTGGCGGCGGCGCAGAATTGGTTTATAGCACGTGGGATTGTGTTACGGAGGCATTTTGTTCGGCAAGGTGAGGGGCGGTGGTCGCCCGGGGTTGGTGGCGTCCCGGGGTTGGTTTGTCGCACGCGGGGACGTGTTTTGGTGGTGTTGTTCTTGTCGGGGGAGTGGGGGGGGGTGACTTGTGCACCCTGACTTCTCCCGCGTCAAGGTGAGCGGTGGCGGCATGCTGGAATGGTCGAGAGCCCGTGTCATTGTGCTTGGGAGAATGTGCAGATTTTAGGGCATCGTTTTGAGGTCGAGCGCGTGCGCTCTCGCTCTCACACACACTCACACGCGCGCACACACACACACTCGCATACACACACACACACACACACACACACACACACACACACACACACACACACACACACACATACACACACACACCAACTCCAACACACACACTCGCTAGCTGTGCACTTTCGCGCTCACAACTGTCACGACTTCACAACCAATATCACAGGTCCGCAACCCCGCCACTGGTGCGGTCTTCATCGTGGCCGAGTCACGCCTGGAGGCCCTGCCCGGCGCCGTCCCCAAAGGCAAGAAGGGCGCCGCCGCCGCCAACAACAACAGCAACGGCGGCGGCGGCGGCGGCGGCGGCGGAAAGAAGAAAGGGAAGGGCAGCAGCGGCAACGTGGCAGCCGCGGCGGCGGCCCCGGCGGACGGCGGGGCCGCCCCGGCGGCCGGCGAGGCAGCGGCGGGCGGGGAGAAGCCCGCGGCGGCCGAGGCGGCCGGTGGGGATAAGAAGGGTGCTGGCGCCGGCGGGGGCGGCTTTGAGGTCATCGCGAAGCTGCAGGGGTCCGAGCTGGTGGGTGGTCTGATGCGCCTGGCTGTTTCATCGCACTCTCGGTATCGAGAAAAGGGTGCACGTGCAAGCCTGGGTGCTGGATGAGGATTTTGTGAGGCTTGACAGGGGCTGTGTTCAACGGCACGGTCTGGGGCCGCAGTGAGCCGCGCGGCAGCGGGGCCGAGGGGTTGTCGCGGCCCCTCTTTGACGGGCGGGGCTGCCGCTGGCAGGCGTGTCTAGATTCCTGCACCGGGGCAGCAGGGCGCCGGGGATGTTCCTCCCACCCATGCAGCCAAGCGCACCACAAGCCGCCCACCTCCTCCCCTCCCCCCAACCATGTCACCCCGCACCATGCAACCGCGCCATGTGTCATCCCTGTGTGACGTAACCCGGCGTCACCCCTGGCCCCCACCTCACACGTCATCCGCCCCCAGGTCGGCCTGCGGTACGAGCCCCTCTTCCCGTACTTTGCTGACCTGGCGGCATCGGGCGCATTCAAGGTGGTGTCTGACGGATACGTGACGGATGACAGCGGTACGGGCGTCGTGCACCAGGTGGGGAGCTTTTCGACTGTCTTGTATCGTCTATGTGTTGTGTGTGTGTGTGTGTGTGTGTGTGTGTGTGTGTGTGTGTGTGTGTGTGTGTGTGTGTGTGTCGCGCCCCATTAGTTCGCGCATCACAAGAGGCTCCCACACAATTCAGGGATTATGTGGTCATTTCTCATCTGAGGTCACGTGTCCTGCTCATACCCTTGCGTACTTCCGCCTTGTGCACACACACGCACACACGCACGTGCGCGCGCACACCACACACACACACACACACACACACTTACACCTGGCTCCCGCCTTCACCAAGCACTATCAGTGAATGTCCTCGAACCTTAAGCCCTGACCCTCAACCCGGATCCTTCAAACCCCCCAGGCCCCCGCGTTTGGTGAGGATGACTACCGGGTCTGCCTGGCCCACGGCGTTATTGAGAAGGGCGAGGGCCTGCCCTGCCCAGTCGACCTCAGCGGCCGCTTCACGGAGGAAGTCCCAGACTTCGCCGGCAAGTGAGTTGATTTCAGGGGTTCAGGGTTGTCAGGCCCGCGTGCCCGGCAGGCCAGCCCGCGCTGCTGGGCTGCTGGCGTTCAGGCCCCTTTTTCTCAACGAAACCGTTTGTTCGCCGCTTCTCTCCTGAACCCTCATGCAACCTCTCCTTCTCCGAAACAAACATCAAATTGTGACACATCACGTCAGGCCCAAGAAGGAGGCCATATCACCAACCTCTCAAAACCTTCTGAAACCTGCCCCTCTGCCCCAATAAGCGTCAAACTATCTGCGTCACGCAAAGGATGCCGACACGGGCATCATCACCCACAACCTCCCGTACCCTGCCACCTCTCCACACACCCACAAATCCACAAATTTATCCACCCCGCAGGCACGTGAAGGAGGCGGACAAGGCCATCATCGCGGCCATCAAGGAGCGCGGCCGCCTGGTGGACGTGGGCAGCCTGGTGCACTCCTACCCCTTCTGCTGGCGCAGCGACACGCCCCTCATATACAGGGCCGTACCCTCCTGGTTCGTCGCGGTGAGCGGGATAAACGTTTGACCCGGTCAACGTCGAAAAGCGCGTGGGGTCGACCCCCGGAATCCGCCTTTTGGGGAGGGGGCGGTGAGCGCGCTGCAGCATCCGAGGCGGAGCGGCGAAAAGACGACCCCTGGCCCCAAGACGATGATAGGGAGGGGGCCACCAGGGAGGAATACATGCACAATGCAGTCCTCGACAGCGGACGTACTGTGCCTTTTCCAAGCTACCCTAATGCCATGTCGCATCACCGAAAGGGAAGGATGTCGCAAAACCGCGCCGCCAAGACCGGACACCTCTAGCCAGGAACGCACCCTTCCCACCCACCCACCCCTTCCGCCAGACACCCTTCCTCCCTCCCCCCGCGCCCCCGCACACACACACACACACACACACACACAC